ATGATCATTGGGATAAGAACTTTATTAGCCTGACCGTTCGGAGTTTGTCATGGATTCCTCATTAGAGACAATAGCAGAAACGGGTAGTTCATACAGCTGAATTTGCAGTATTTACGGGATACAGTCGCCATGCTACTGTTTAATAAAGACAATTAACAGCTTCTCTCTACCGAGGATAGTAGTCCACTTTTGCGCTTATTGTTTGAGGGTCAGAATGCGGGCCGTCAACTGCTGAACTGTTATCACCTGTGCTGGACTTGGGCGTGATGACTGCTCGGCCATATGGCTATCTGGCGCTGGCGTTAGAAGATGTGTTCGCCTATGCGTCCCCCGAGTGAAGAATTGCTTTGGCAAATCTGAGCCTCAGCACCGAGTGTGGGTTGGGCAGGTCAGTGCACTTATTGGTAGACCTGAGTGCCCGTAAATCATGACTCAAGTAATTCATGGCACACATGACTGTCGCCCCTTCGGCTTCATCAAATCAAATGTGCGGCCGGTTCTCGTAAAATGAGCCGCAACTTGAGAATTTGCATTATTTCGCCACATTGCTGCCACGTGTTTGGCAATTCACGTATTGAGAAACCGGTAAAATTGTGTACTGCGGCCTCGGAAGCGTACGTCTCTATTATATCCACCTACTTACAAATTTTAAGTAGGTTGAACTTTTCACTATCTTCTATTTTCCAGCACACCGGCCGTTGGTCCAGTAGAGATTGGATGACGAAACCGAACTGCGGAGGGGTCCTCGGAAGGTCACCATGCACAATAGCCGCTTAAGTCAGTTAAGTATGAAAAATAGCCTTTCAAATAAACCATGGAAATAACCGCTTACTTACAAATTTTAAGAAGGGCGATTTTCCAAAATCTACCAATTTCTTCATTTATTCGCCATAATTCGACTTGGGGTTACCAATACTACTAAAAATGTACCTCAATGACCTCGCCCGAGGTCAGCGGACACCCTCACGCTAAACGCGTGCTCGCAGTTGGTCCAGTAGAGGTTAAGGATGCTTTTAAAATGTACTGTAGTGCCCGAGCCTGAGGTCAAGGCTCATCCTCCAACTTACCATCGTAACTTCTTTATTTTGCAGGATTATAGCGAACTGATTTGTTCCCTGAAGTACCCCGACCACCTTATCCCCTAAAACAAAATGTCCGTAAGGCCGACGGGTGCGCTTCGCTCCTCAATCAGGCGGCTCTACGGCATACTCCTACCGAGAAGCCTTCCAGTTTCTACGACGTAGTTGCTTTGTCCGCAACTGCACCACGTTCTATAGAAGAATCCAGATTTCTCTTATCATGGCAGTGGGTCTTTTTGTCTCAGTATCTAACGGCTTATGGTTGCCTCCAGCGCGTGTGTGACTTCCACTCCAAGTAGTGCGAGAAGGCAGCCGAAGGCCTGCGATACGTTGGTAACATACGAAATCGCTAACTAAAATTTGATTGGGTGGTTACAACTTAAGACAGTACTTGCATCGTGTTTGTCGCTTTCCTAAACACTTTCATATTTAGGCCACCATAACAATTGCGGCAGACGAGAACATCAAGAAAGACCAGCTGGTTGTTTTTTTCTTCCTCTTTCATCGGAAAGTTTACGTCCGGGAAGAGGCTGTTGAGGCGTTCCTTGAGCGTGAGCACCGGATCCCGTTCGCTGACCACGAAGGTATCATCCACATACTGCACCCAGAACTTTGATCTTAGGGTTGCCTCCGGTCTGTGATCAGTATCAGTTCATTGAAGAAACGATGAGCAAAAGCCTTTGAACTTCTTATTGATAATAAGATGACAGGAAACATTCGGATACGTAGAAAAATCTAAAAAAAGACTCCAACTACGAGCTTGCGGGTAAAGCACGGCAGTTGTGTACGGAGAGATTAAGGATAAACTGCCAGCCCAGACCACCTCAATGTGCATAT